TTAACTTTCTGAGACAGAAGTGTGGGAAACTAGGGCTCGACGTGTACTGACTAGAGTCTTCACAACAATCCAGCGTTGAACAGCTGATCTCCTCCTTCTAATATACCAGCTGGTCTGATGAGGCCCAGGTGTGCATGATCCGGGAAGGCGTGGACCGAGGGCGTGAACCCCCCATGAGTTCCGCCCCGGCAAAACAGGGGAGAGGGAGAGAGAGAGGAAAAAGAGAAGAGAAGGGGGGCTAGGAGTGGCGCATGGCGGGCCACTAGAGCAGGTGCTACTGAACAGAGGGCACAAAGTGCTCACCTTCGATTGCAGGGAACAGGGGAGGTTGGTACCCCAGGGAGGCCTCGAACGGAGAGACGCCGGTGGCCGACGAGGTAAGGCTATTGTGAGCCACGTCAGTTGCTCGCTCCAGGTGGTCTGATTAGTGGATGTCAAGCAACGGAGAGCCGCTTTGAGTTCTTGGTTGGCCCGTTCCGCTTGACCGTTGGTCTGCGGATGAAAACCCGACGAGAGACTGACCTGGGCCCCTAAGGAGGCGCAGAACTCCCTCCAAACACGTGACGTGAACTGTGGGCCTCGGTCCGAGACCACTTCAGCAGGGATCCCGCGGAGGCGAAACACATGAGTTGACAGAAGCCGGGCGGTCTCCAGGGCAGTGGGGAGCTTGGGGAGAGCAACAAAGTGGGCAGCTTTAGAAAAACGGTCGACAACGGTGAGGATGACTGTGTTACCCGATGACGGCGGAAGACCAGTGACAAAATCAACCGCAATGTGGGACCAGGGGAGGCTTGGCGTAGGCAAGGGATGAAGTAGGCCGGCAGCGGGCTGGTTGACAGGTTTATTCTGGGCACAGGTTGGACAGGCGGCAATGAAGTCTTGGACGTCCTTGGCCAGTGTAGGCCACCAGGTGAACCGCTTGATGAAGGTGACGGTGCGATGAATGCCCGGATGACAGGTGAGTTTTCCGCTGTGGGCCCATTGTAGCACTCGTGAGCGAACCAACGTGGGAACAAAGAGCAATCCCGGGGGACCAGTACCTGGATCCGGTTCTGCCCGCTGGGCCTCCCGTATGGCGGACTCGATCTCCCACGACAGGGCTCCGATAACGCATGTGGGAGGGAGAATGGGAGCCTCACGGGTGGGGTCCTCTGAGGTGGTGAATTGGCGGGAAAGGGCATTGGGTTTCACGTTCCGGGAGCCGGGCCTGTAGGTGATGGTGAAGCAGAATCTGGTAAAGAACAGAGCCCACCTGGCTTGTCGGGCGTTTAGTCGTTTAGCCGACCAGATGTATTCGAGGTTCTTGTGGTCAGTCCATACCACAAAGGGTTCTGTTGCGCCCTCTAGCCAGTGGCGCCACTCCTCCAGGGCGAGTTTGATTGCCAACAGCTCCCTGTCCCCGATGTCGTAGTTCTGCTCTGCAGGAGAGAGACGACGGTAGAAGTAAGCACAAGGGTGGAGCTTACCCTCTAGTTGCTGGGAGAGAACTGCTCCGACCCCTACATCCGAGGCGTCCACTTCCATGATAAACTGCCGCTTGAGATCCGGTGGATGGGCGCCGACGCGAAGCGTTTCTTTAGCCGGGAGAAAGCCTCCTGAGCCTGATCATCCCAGCAGAAAGGTACCTTAGGGGAAGTTAAACGGGTTAGTGGCAAAGCAATCTTGCTGTAGTCATGAATGAACCTCCGATAAAAGTTTGCAAAACCGAGGAACCGTTGAAGCTGCTTACGGTTAGGCGGAGTGGGCCAGTCTAAGACTGCTTGTACCTTAGCTGGTTTGGTTCTTAAATCGCCCTGTTTGATGATGTAGCCCAAAAATGACACAGTACTCACATGAAACTCGCACTTCTCCCCTTTAACAAACAGCTGATTCTCCAGGAGGCGTTGCAGGACTTGTCTGACGTGGTGTACATGATCAGAGAGAGAGTGGGAGAAGATGAGGATGTCGTCAAGGTACACAAACACAAAACGATTGATGAAATCTCGGAGAACATCATTGACTAGACCCTGAAAGACAGCTGGAGCATTAGTCAGTCCAAACGGCATGACCAAGTATTCAAAATGGCCCAGGTGTGTGTTGAAGGCTGTTTTCCACTCGTCACCCTCTCTCATCCTGACTAAGTGGTAAGCATTCCGCAGATCGAGCTTAGTAAAAATGGTCGCCCCCTGCAGGAGTTCAAAGGCGGAGGATAAGAGTGGCAGAGGGTATTTATTCTTAATAGTAATATTATTGAGGCCCTGGAAATCAATACATGGCCGAAGGCTTTTATCCTTCTTAGTGACGAAAAAGAACCCGGCAGCCACGGGGGATGAAGAGGGGCGAATCAGTCCATCAGCCAAGGATTCATTAATATACTTCTCCATGCATTCACGTTCAGGTTGAGAGAGACTGTATAAGTGACTAGTGGGAAGAGGTGCACCTGGGAGCAAATCAATACTGCACTCGTACGGGCGGTGAGGAGGAAGAGAGCGGGCTCGGTCCTTACAAAAT